CTTTCAGCACATTTCAAGCTCTTGTTTTGATGACATGCCAAAAAAAGCAGATAATGACCATTTCAGATTTCCGCAACCCATATATTCTGAGAAGTGATGCTTGGTACAGTACAAAAAGAGCCCAAAGAATTACACGCCATGCTAGTAAGTGACCCATACTTACGACGGTCGAAGATGGCAAATGAGGAATTTGCAGCAGACCAAGTACTCAAGGACAGACTTATGTTACTTTTCTTGAGGCTCCTTATATTTTGTGAGCGATAGAGCTACTGCCCAGAGGTGCCTGTGTTGCGTGGGGGGGTGCAGAGCGCAGTGCCACTATTACTCAGCGGTAAGCCAACACAGCTGAAAAAGCATTTCCACTTGGCTCAAAAACCCCAATATTTTTCCACAGTGGGACATGTAATGTTTGCTGCCCTGCATCCCTTTCTTGAGTATCTCTGGCCTCATGAGCTACAGCAGGAAGAACAAAAAAACCCCATAACCTCAAACTGTCTACACTCTCTGATACACTTACGCAGAGCACATTTACTTTGTGGCTAGCTAGAGCCAAATATAGGGACCACATCCCTCAAAACTCCCGTGCACTACAGTAACACCAACAACCTATTTTTACACGGGGAGACTCTCCATGCTCTCCATGTACATTACTGCCCTGTTTAAAAACAAAGCAAAATTTCTAGAAAGACAAATAAAGGTATGCATGCCTAACATGTTTAGAGTACAGCTGGTCACATTAGGAGAGCCCATCATTGTCATTATGAATCTATGAACAAATATCAAGCCACAGGTATATATTAAGGTCTTGATGTCTACCATGCCAAGCACAGGTATACATCTGTGAAAGCTGATTTACACCAACTCCTAGGAAGTTTCCTCATGGAGAAGGGAGTCTGGAGGGCCAGAGAGAGCAAGAATGACTACAACCTGACAGACTGACTGTGAAGGGACACCCAGGTCTGTGAAGGCAGAAGACCCCTCTTACACAGAAGGAGATGTCCTTTCCCGCAGGGAACCAGCTGCTCTCTCCTCTTTGCTCGGAGACTTCCATTGGTGACATCCACCTCCAGCCACCCAGACAAAGTGCTGGAAAGGACCCTGCCAGGATACGAGGGGACCTCCAACTCCTGCTGCCAAGAGCCACCCTCTGTAACCTCTCTGGGAACCAGCTGATCAAGAGACTCAGTAGATGTCCTGTCAAGCCAGGACAGGTGAGACACCAGATGCTGCAAAGTCCTTTCTGCTCTGTCAGGGCAATGCCATTCACACAGTGTTTCCTCTGCTCCTGTAAGAGCACTGGGGACAGGGCTCAGAGCTGTCGCTTCTTGCAACACACAGAAAAGCTTTCCTTTAGCTAGTAAAGATTACATTTTCTTATCATTCCCCCACCAACACACGACCTTAAAATGGAAATAACACTTTGCATCCACTCCCCCCACCAATATAGTTTTACACATGCTATTTATGTAATACTATATTTAAATGTATGGATGATTGAAGGAATGAAAGATAAAGAACTCCTTATTAATCTGTTTAATAACCACAGCTAAACTTTGCTCCGAGATGACCAAAATACTGAATTCCTTACTTATGTAAGTAGAGCCATTGAGTCAATGGGATTTTTTTACATGAATAAAGACTAATCACATGATTAAGCACTACCAGCATGGACCCTCAAAATGGTTATTTCCAGCTTTAGGTAACAAAAAGTACTGAGTTTACAGAAGCATTCACTGAAACAATATTTTCCCCTCTACACATGGAAACTACTGCCTGTGCTGTTTACAGTTATTAAGTGTCAATCAAGGCAAAAGCTGAGCAACCCTTATTTTCAAAAACAATGTGATGAAACAAACAGAACTCAGCAGTCACCTAAGGCAGAGATTTGAAGAACAGAAAGCTCAGATACAGTTATACTACCTTGTACCGTGCTTTACTGTACGTTATACTACCTTAACCTTCTGACATGTCATGACTACAACTCCTCAGAGAGGCAGGGCTGTAAACAATGATTAAATGGCTATCTGAGGCAGCAGCCCTTCTGAACATGTCATACTGAGGATGCTGGGCTCGGGAAAACTCAATACTGTTCTGAGGTCTGCCAGTGGCTTCATAAAGTTATTTAAATTTTCTGTCCTCGATCTGAAAGACAGCCGTAATAAACGGTTTTCCTCAAAGTGCTAAGACAATGCCAAAATAAACATGTTTAACAGACCTTCGGCCCCCGTGGGTTTCTGTGCCTGGGTCTTTGTCTGAGTGCTCGGGGCAGAGCTGTGCTCGGGGCAGAGCTGTGCTCTGTCAGATCACTCTCCACCAAGGAAGAAGGTGAGGATGGAGGGTGTTTTCCGCAGCACAGCCCTGGTTCATGCAGCTCGGCTCCCTAACTCGCCGTTAGCCTGTGCCGAGGGAAGGG